TATTAAAAAATTAATGATTACTAATCATTAGCGAAGCTTATTTCTTATATTGCCCACCTATTCTATAGAATATCCAATTATTTTTTATATTATATTTTGTTAAAATAAATTATTTTTATAATTAATTATTATTATTTTTATATAAATAATTAGGCTGTTAGCAATACTATTTCAATGTTTTCTTGTTGGAAACCCCTTCTAGCAGGCTTTATGAATGTTGCTGATGTAGAATTTGATAGGCTGATTGAAGAAGCAAGGAGAGAACTATCTGAATTTGACAGCTACTTTAATCAGGTTCGTGTTTATGCAAGAAAAATCAGTTAGGCACTATTTATATCAAAATTACAAAAAAACAAAAAAAATAAGAAAAATAAGAAAAAAGAAAAAAAGAAAATCGATAGCATTCATCAGTTATTTAAGTGTTGCTACGAAAAAAAAATTTTTTTTTTTTAAAAAGAATTGGAATTCTATTTTACAACGCTATTGAACCAACCATAATTTTGACAATAGCACAAAAATATCCAATTAAAATAAACAAATTTCTAAGATGTTTAATTTCTAGCTTTTTGGTTATATACACAATTTGACAAAATATCTTTTATTTTAATGCAATACTAATTACTTATTTAGTACCTTTGCTTTAATTTACAATTTACAAATACCATAAAATATAATTTATTATTTTACTTTATTATTATATTTGTTTAAATGTAGATTATTATTGTACTAAATTTCAATTTTGATATGTAAAAATAAATACAATATGTAAAATAACCATTAATAATAACTGTAATATCGATAATTTATTAATTAACATTTATCGCTTTAAAATTATTTCAACATTTACAACATTCTTATATAAATAATTGTATATGATTACGACTAGGATTATGCTTAATTATCGGTTATTGAAATATTATCATGAATATACGTTAGGTAAACTCTAAACTTTTGATTTTTTTCCAAATATTAAATCAATATAGTAATTAATTTAAGGCAAAGAACCCCAATTTTCCTAATACACGTTATAATGACAAAGCTTTGATTTTGTATAATTGGCTTCATTTATCTTCAATTCTAAAAATATTTTTGGAAAGAATTTTCTTAGTTTAACGTAGTGTATCGTATGCGGGTATTAATTGCAAATTTGTGCAACGTTCAAATAAAATAATCCGTATAAAACAATAAATCGAGCGCCGTTTAAGGTCAGGATAAGGATGGACTGGGATGATGGCGGGGGATAGTTTTTATCAAAATTTCGCAAGGAAGTTTTTTTATTAATACCTGAAAGGTGGTTTCATAAACGAAATTTTGAGTTATAATCGATTTTTTAAAAAAAGCAATAATTTTGCGTTACACCCGATCGTGTAATCTGATTGACTTTCTTATGACCCGTGTATGTACACATTATGTACAAATAGAAATTTTCTTTTGGAAAAGTATCTTGCTAGAATTGGTGAATTTATAAATTTATTTATTTTCAAAAATAATTTTGTTGAACTTAAAACACCAAATTCATATCTAAAGTCAAAATTCTATTTTAGAATTAAGAATTAATCAATGTGTAGTTAATAGAATTAGCACAATAAATAAGCAATAACATGTATTATTATAACTAAACAAGATTTAAAATACCAATTAGCATGAAATTTTCAAAAATAGATTAGAGTGTAATACATGCAGAAATTTTACCAAATAAGGGGTCCCTTAAAGCGGGGTAGATTAATAAAAATTAGTCAATCAGATCATCAAAATTTGATAAACCCGGATCAGCCCGATGAAGCAAACAAGTGAAAAAAGAGAAAAAAGCGAAAAACACCAAAATGGTAGTCTAAACCTATCTTGGTGCATTAATAAAATGTCAGGAAGGTAATTTTGCTTACAAAATCACCTTTGACCTCAACCCAAAGTGACCCTAACCCTAATGTTAAAGAAAATGGCACAATATATAATCTGCTTCGCTTTAAGGACCCCCAAATAAGGAAGTTATTTCAAAATGATTTACAACTAAATTTTGAATATAATTAGCTTTTATATGCTTTTTCTCTTTCAAACAGTTGTATATTTTGAAAATTTTTTTAAAACTAAAAAAGCTTTCAATTATATGGGATATGTGGACATTAATAAGCAAATCAAGCTATATTTGCATTACTATTCACTGGCTTAACTCAGATGTTTTATTATGTATAGAAAAAATGCCTTATTCACATACCAGTGAAGCAATTCAAAAATGTTTAGACCAAAAAATTAATAAATTTGGATTACAAAATAAAATCACTTGTATAATTACCATAATAGATCTAATATAAAAAAGCTATACAACTTTTTAACTTTCAAAAATTACTATATGCCGTCTATACTATGTAGCTATTTGTAATCGAGGTTTATGCAAATAGAAACTTATACAAAAAAAATTAAAAATTAGTAAAATTTTTTAATTCTCCCAAACAAAGTAAAAACAATTAGATCAAGCTCAAGGAGAATTGCATCATTATAAAGAGAAAATATAGTAATATTATATCTTAATTAATAATACTCTTGAGTCGAGTAATACAGACAATGATACTAATACTAATAAATCAGAATACTCTTCAAGTATTAGAATATTAAAAAATATTACTAAAATAAAACTAAATAGAACTTCAAGTATTACTCTTGGCTAGACTCTTAAAGTTGTATGAAGCAATTAAATAGTTTTGTAATACCTTGCCTTATAAAAAAACTAAAAATGCTAAATGATATGCAAATAAATTAAAATAATTGTCTTTAAATAATAGTGAATGAGAATTAGCACAAGATGTTGTTGACTTACTAAGTCCATTTGAAGCAACAACAAAATACTTTAGTAGTATATAATATATAATGCTTTTAGTAATAAATCCTGTAATAGAAGCTTTTAAATTTTGTTATGCTAGCTTTAACTTTACAGAATTTTATAATAATGATGATGACAATAAATTTTATAATAAAAATAAAGAAAGTTATAATTCTAAATTTGAAGAATTTTCAGATTCTACTAATTATCTCATCACAATATATAACTCAAACTCATATATAACAAGTTACATCTTTATCTTCATTAAATTATATACTAAAATATATGCAAAAAGCTATTTATAATTTATTATTTGATGGTTTAGGCTGCAGATAAACTAGTCTGAGTTTCTTTTCTTGCTATCATTAGATATGAAGTTTAAGTTGTAATTCTT